AAGTTGGTTCGCTGTGTCGTGCCAGAAAGGTTTTCTCATTTGAGTCCATCCTTCAAATGTATAAATCAGCCATCCGTCCTTTCATGGAATATTGTTGTCATATATGGTCCGGTGCCACCGCTGTATGTTTGGAGGCCATCGACAAAATCCAGAGACGAATATGCAATGCGATAGAGCCTGATCTGTCATCTAGTCTACAGTCGCTTTCTCACAGACGTGTCGTGGCCTCTCATTGTCTCTTCTACAAGTATTTTCACGGCAACTGTTCTGACAAGTTGCTTTCGCTGGTTCCTAAACTGCATGAATCTAAGCGAGTTACTAGGTTGGCATCTCAGTCCCACACTTTCACTATCGAAACGGTTAAATGTAACCGTTTTTTTCTACTCAAACAGCTTCTTCTCTCGCACTTCCTGTCTGGAATTCTCTTCGTCTTACTTACTTCCCTGGTAAGTATAATCTTCGAATATTCAAAATTAATGTTATTCAACATCTGATACCTTGATCTTGTTCTCCGTCCTTCTCTTTATACTCTATCCAAAATAGCCTCTTTACTTTTGTTCTCTACCCACTCTGTAACCCCCTTGCATTCTAATAATAACGACGAGGAAACACATGGGTAATTTTTACAAAACAAAATAAGGAATTTATTCGTGAATTAATATGCTTGAAGTAGCGTCAGTAGCTCATTCCAGGAAAATAAATAAGAATTCTTAATGTCCGTAGTTTTAATGTATTATCATGAAAAGTAAATGTTTATGCAACAATTTAAAAGGATCTGACACAAAATATTTAAAAATGTTTAAGACAAAGGTAAGAGAGTTCGTTGCTTACCGAAGATATATATGGTCTGCATACGTTCAAAAGTAAACGAAAAGAGATAGTTTGAAATACTTAGCTTTCTTGAATTGTTGAGAGAGTTTTTGAAGTGACACGTGTGGTTTAGAGGCCGATAATATAATTGGCGAGTATTTTTTCCCTGGCGAGTATTTTTTCACTGGCAAGTATTTCAACGCTGGTCGCGAGGAACTGAAATAGTTGTGGGATAAATACATACCTGGAGATACGTGTTTTCCAACCCAAGCATAAACAGCATTCCCGCAACAGATTGGTGACCACAACGTGTTATTTTTCTCCTGGATACAAAAACACACAAAACTATATAAACAAATTCAACTATGCATCGTTTAGACACTTTTTCAAACCAGTGAAGAAAAACCTCTACCTACCATCGCATGCACGCGGACACGAAAAACTCTCAAGAAATATAACTTACAATTACAAACTTTGTGGTTAGACCCGATGAAAAGAGCAAAATCACAAATTTCAAAACTCTAAAACACATCTACACGACATAACTATCTGAGCATGATGTTCTCCAAGTTAGCAAATATTTTTTGCAACACAAAATAACCCCAAAATATCCCTAATCGCCATTGCAATTACTACTACTACTACTACTACTATAGCACGGCCAGCAGGCAAACAACACGCATCTCATCTCTAATACTTTTTGACCCATTCTTTCTCTCATGCAATTATGCCTGACTTCTTCTTTCACCGGCACACATCATAAATTATTTTTCGCAAAAACGAAAAATACAACTTCCATCTTACAAGTTTGAATCAAACAAAAAACACCTTATTTTCTCCAATAATACCGCTTAGAATTCCCAAATAAATCTACGCGGACCACACGAAAAATACCATTTAAACATCACGAAAGTCAACTCTATTTTCAACTTTAAACAGCACTATTTTTATTAGGCTCAACAGATAAAGATGTGAGATAATTTCATGGCGACTCACTAACATTTTTCACTCTTCAAAGATGTCAACATGAACAAAACTAAGAAATCTGCATGCACGATTTAATAATACACAGAGATAGCTGTGTCTCCGAGAAAAATCTACAATAATATCAGATATCTTCAAAAGTTCTCGCAAACATGTATTCGGCACTCGGTATAAATTTCAACAATATCGCTCAACAACTTTTCACATCGAAGTTTCTTCTATTAAAGCTATGTGCATAATCCACGCGCAGCAAACAAATGATGCCATCCAAACAAAATCAGTTCAACGTGGAGCATTGGAAAACAACATTTTAATACCAAACGCTGAACACTCTTTTTATACACTATCGACATATCTTCCAGGGTGTGCTACGACTGTGACCTACTAGAGGATTATATATCACCCTGATGACACAGTACTTCAGACAAGTACATTTTCGTTGACATGTTTAAAGACACATCACAACCACACTGTTCGACTCCTTTTCTTATCAGTCTACGAGGAACAAAACAAATATACAGAAACTTTATGGATATATCGGTAGAATAAAATTCTCCCCATCTGGAGGGGAGTATTGTGGGGTTATCTCATTTACTTTCCTAAAAAACTATCGCTAGAGGAAGCTTTCTAAGCCTATAAATAGTAGTGAAATTTTCTGTCATTCTCCTTTTTCTATTCCCCTCTTATACGGTAAAATGTAGGCCGAACGTGGAGAACGTCTTGTACACACGAGCACACACACAAACGCACACGCGCATACGCGCACGCACGCCAGCAAATGTCTCTTCACTTTCCATTACTTTTCTCTAGAACTTCTACACCAACATCCTCACCAGTTTAAAAGTTTTCATATTCATTGTTTTGTCACACGCAACAATCTTCTATTGTCTATATATACCCATGTTTTGTTAATAGATACTTATTATTTGTTTTTATATATATAAATTTGTTGTTACTTCTCATTTTAGTACCTAGACTCACATTCGAGTCCTCCATTTGTGTGTTGGGATAAATATATCAGGAGACATTCGTGTTTTCCAACCTAAACACAGCAAGCATACACCCACAACAGTCACTTGATCTTTCTCTTATATTGGTGATAGAAAGAAAATAATGCATTGAATAAAAAACCGGTATGGAATTCATTTTATGCGACTGCCATTATAATTCAAGAAACTATTGGATTACTCTTTTCTTTCCTGCCACCTTAAATTTTAATTCTACAAAAAGTAAAAAAATAATGATACGTTGCTTCTTCCTTTCCTTGATTGAAGACATTTTTCAGTAAAATTTCAATAAATAAATAAATATATAAATAAATAAATAATGAATTCAATTATGATACCTTAAAGTAGGGTTAATTTAAATATATTTATAAAATGGAATTTAAATTCGCAAATGAAGAAAAAAACACTTAGAAAAATAACAAAATCATCTTTTTCTCAGTTTTTGAAATTTGTGATACTTCTGTTTAAATCAAAATGTAGAATAAGTTATGATAATATGAGTTGTAATTTATGTTGTCCATTTTTAAAAACTCACATAATTACATCTTTTATATGATTTCCGTATCTTAAATAAGAAACCGACAAAAATTAGAATTTAAATTCCTTTAAATGAAGACGCAAAAAATCAAATAGATTTCTTAAATATAAAATTTAATTAATATTCGACATTGTCGGGGCATTCAACTCTAATCTTTTGAATATCTACTGTTAATCTTTTGAATATCTACTGTTGTTAACAATATTTCAGATGATCCATTCTTCAGCTTCTGTCAAGTGTACTCCATGAGCTTCAAAAAGATATCGACAATAAAATTAAATCCGTTTTAGAATAACTATACACTAATTTAAATGACATTTGTAAAATAAAATTAATAGTTCATGGTCACATATAGGTATGTGCCAGTTTGTATTGCAAGTGTGTACATGTGTTTTTCATCGAAACTGTCAAGAATCTAGATATTTTTAACCAACGCTTTTTTCTTTTCCTTCAATAACTCAATGGTGTAATTTTGGAGCATTAAACCATATGTCTGTAATGAGGTGGTAGAATTCTATTAGTGTCTTGATACAGGTGATTTAATTATATAATTACATCATGTGAGTCAAGATACTCATTTCTTTCTTAATTAGAGAATCCTAGATGGTATTAATGTTTCTGTAAGTCTACTGAGAAGGTTATCAATGCATAACGTGTGATAATTCTTTCAGTTGTTTTATCCACTGTTTGTTACCTTGGCTTAATTTCACAGGTGTTGATGTACACACTTTTCCCTTTATAATGTCAGTCGATATATTCCCCTGGACTACAGCCTTTCAATGTTCTTCCACCCTTACATTTAGGGAGCAACAGGTCCTTTCATTACTTGTCACAATTGCATGGGAGGAAATACAAATAGTTTCTTGGTCATGTTTCCCTTGGAGGTAGATGTTGGTTCGGTGAAAAGTTGAATAGAGAATAGAAAGGTGTGCGTGAATAATTAATCAATATACTTGTAGTACTTAAATCAGCTTATAGTTATTTAATTGAAAAAGACTGTAATGAAAGCATTGATAAAATAATGAAAGACCAGCAAGATATTTTCATGCCAACATATATTCATTTTGAATGAAAATATGCATGAGTTAATATTCTTAACCAATGACTCAACTTGCATGTTTTCTTGTATGAAAAAATATGAGACAAATACTCAATCAATTACAGAAAACTCAGCTACTGAATAGTAATGTTTATGTTATTTGGAAGATTATTTTTTATTATAATATGTGTGTGTCTAATGTATGTGGATAAATGTAAGAATCTTAATCAGACAAAAATTCATGTGTAATAAGCGTTGCAAGGTTTTTTTTCTTTTTTTTTTTAGGTAAGTTGCAGCATAGTTTTAGCAGAAAAGTAAAATATGTTTCTTTTGATTTTTATATATTATATATTTTTATGCATTATATATTTTATGTAAATCAGTCAAACTGCCGAATTGATATTTAATAGAAACATGCCACGCCGTCCCATTTAAGCTGGAAAGTGAATTTTAAAGTTTATGGTAAAACCAGAGTTGAACCTGAAAAAGTAACAATCATTTAAAACATATCTAATCATCACATGACATAAAATTACACTTTTAATTAATTATCATTTCTTAAAATTGATGAACATTTCATAGAAAATAACAATGATTTTTTATTTTGCATTAAAGGTGAAAAATGGCTACTATCGATGGTGCCACTGGGAAAAGCCCCGAAGAAGAGAAGGGTTTACAAAATGAGACTGCTATGATCAACAAAGTCTTTAAAGAATTCGTGCGGGTCTCTGCTGTCGGGAAGAAACTGTCAGCTGAAGAACTCAAGCAAATGAATTGCAAAGCTTGCGGCAAATTGGTTCGCAACACGCTACCAAAGGAGGTACAAGTCATTGCCGACGCCAGCGTTTTTCCAAAATACAAGGAGAAAGGGAAGCAGTAAGTTTGATATTTTTGTTCTTTCAAGAGCCATTCGGTTCAACATTGTTAATCGCCAATATTTGAATCCAGGTATAAAGAAAGTTAAAAATATATCAAATTACTCTTAGTATTCGCATAAAACCTATCTATAAGATCGTGGCCTTGTGATGAATAAAAGCATTTGTTTTACACAAATGATTATTCTTTTTAACATAATATCCTTTCATGAAAAAAATACTTAAACGCACGTTTCACATAGAGTGAACATTTTAAATAAAAATTCAATTAATAACTCTGTTAGACTACGGACATTGATCAACCGTCGTATTCATTTATGCCTCTATCTATCCAGCTCTCTATTATACTTAGTTAAAATGAACAGAAGAATAGGAAGGTTTTGTCGCACAAATATTCTTCGTTAAGTATCTGCCTTGAAAATATGCATATGAATCTAGCCTTTTAGCTAAAACCGAACGCTGATACCCATGAAATACATACCTACCTCGGTCAATAGAATCCGTCAGTTTTTGTCACACTAGAATTTGACCCGACTTTTGCGTTGTTAGTAAATCGCGTTGAATCATTTATAGTGAAATTAAATTGTGAGGGATAATTAATGAGAGTGATTAGATTAATTCAAATTCAAGCAATTATCAGCTTCATTTATTTTACATCACATATACTACGCACAAATTCTCTCTTGCATACGGACATATATTTAGTAAATTTAATTTATCTAAATTTTCTACGGCGTCTGATTGGTTAGTTCAGCGACCGGGTCCAGTAATGCATCCTGAAAGGTGGTCAGGTGCGACCCAAGTTAACAGAAGAGTAGTTTAGGAATTATTTTTATATTTAAAAAAAATCTTTATTTTTTTAAAGCTAGGGACACTAAGCATGTGGCTTCCATTTCTAAGTCTAGTCTTTGTCATTTGATATTTTAAACTGGATACTAAATTCCTTAATCTTTAAGGAGAGTATAATCTTTTTCTTTTTGCCGTATAACATATAAACCTTTACATTAAAAAAATGCCAAATCACATCAAGCACAGGTTTCACACAAACATACTTAAATATACAATGTAATGTCTTAAAAATAAATGCTTATTTCAGGAGGCTTCTTTATTGTTTTCCTATTTTATAATTTTTGACTAATTTTTCCTCATTAACTTTTAGAGTGCGCCTTAGAATTTTTGTTATTCTACAAGTGCGCCCTGAAGTTAAAAAGTATGAGAAACACTGAGTTAGTTAGTAAGCTTAGCCTAATCTAGCACAAGGTTACAATTATGAGTACCCAGTGAAGATCGAACTCACTAAAGTAGAAATGGTCTGCAAAATTAACTCGCTTATTACTACTATTCAATGCTATGACGTTATGTCTGTCTGTCTGTCGGTCTTTCACAATATTTCTAATATCAGTACTGCTCTTTCATAATAATAATAATAATAATGATAATAATAATTTTATAGGATTGTAAATAGAGTAAAAACTGAATTATAAGCTTTTCAATTTTCTTGATGCTATTTATTTGTCTTGTTAGGTATATGCATCTATCAAAATTCCCGGCTTTCATTGACGATTGCGCTTACGAATATGCAAAGACCAAAATGAAGAATCCCAAACTCGCCAGAGATGATGAAAACGTGGCCAAGTACATCAAGGAATTTAGAGAACGCATAAAAAAAGGAGACCCAGGACTTAAAGAAACGGTAATTTTAAGTGTATATGAAAATCTCTCTCTCTCTCTCTCTCTCTCTCTCTCTCTCTCTCTCTCTCTCTCTCTCTCTCTGTTGTAGGTACTTACAAAGAAAAGGCTTAAAATGAATTTTAAAAAATGGAAAAGCTTTTATTTTAGTTTTAATTTCTGGCTAATAGATTAAATGTAATATTTCTAGTAAGCAAAATATTTTGCTGTATTTCAAAACGGGCTTAAATTGATTGGAATGAGTATTTTTAATTATAAATCACTAAAAATAACTTATTTAGACATATTTGCAATTCTCTCAGCACAACGTAATTCTCTTTATTAAAATCTTTCAAAAATAAAATATACTTTTCTGAAACTTTATCTGTGGGAGATTAACTGATTTGTAGTTTAATCAATCTGATTTTAAACAATTAGTTTAAATTTGAATTTAAAATATCGCAGAAAAGAATTTTTTAACACTGAGATAGGTGTTTTCATGTGTTGACAGCTGTATTGACAGCCTGGTTTTAGGGAAATTTAATTAATTTTCCTATGGGGTACATGTCCATAAAATATAAGAATATAACTTGTACGCCTTTTTTATATGTTTTTAACTACCCAGTAATCTTTAAAATTTAGGAAAATATTATAAATAATTTAAAGTTTTAGTTACTTTGGCTTTAAATTTACTATCTTATTACCGCTCTATTTTCTGATAATATCGTGTATGGGCATCCATATTTAGAAAAATCGGCACGTTTATACACATAAAAAAAAATCTAAAATTCGTTTTAAAATACTAGGGTTTGCTGAATTGTAGTAAGATTTTTCATTTATGATTAATAAATATAGTTTTTATTTAATAAACTAGCTGCAAAAAGTTAATTCAGAATTTTAAAAGATTTAAAACTTTATAAGTTATTATAAGTAAAATTAAGAAAAAATTAAAATAGTCCTCGTAAAAATTCATTATTATCGAAAATATTTTTCTTGAGATAATAGCGTCCATAAAAGCAATTAAAAGATTTTCTAATTAAATAATGTCTAGGTTTTATTGCATTTTTTATTTTACGATTCTGAGCATATTTTCTGTAACTGGGTATTCTGTTTTAGAAAATTATTGGCTTCAATTCTCCAAAGTCTTCTGCTTATAACTAATATAAACTTTAATTCCTACAAAAATGAATTTCTCGAAATTTCTTAAAATTAAATACGTGCTTGGTAATAAAATATTACTAAAAATTTCTAAAAAAAAAAGAAATGTTTCTAAAATAATTTCATTCATAAATCCTGAACGTCTCATTAAAATCCAACAATTATTTGATTTTGCAAGAATTTCCAAATCAATGTGTTTTCACCAAAAAAAAAAAAAAACGCTAACATTTCCTAAACTAATTCATGGTCACCCGCTAATGCAAGAAAAAAAATTAACCAAAGTTGTTAAAGTTCTAAAAAGGATTAGAAAAATATAATTTAATGATAACAAATTTCTTTGCTCTTTCCTCTTAATAATAACAAAAAAAATTAAGATAAAACTTCGTTTTTATTAAGTTTGGGGATTTTTTTCATCATGTATGCTCATTTTTTTAGGGTATCTTTGAAGGTCCCTATGAAGAGACATAAAAATAATCTATATATCTGCATAAATCAACACTATTTCTTCGAGATGCCAAGACCGATTTGAACACAACTATATTAATCTATTATGGCTCGATTTTTATGAAGAAAAATGCGAAGATTTCATTATCTTTTCAAAACATGAAAAATGTTTAAAGATAAAAAGAAAAAAATGAAAGATATGGTATTTTTTTCTTTGTGGATTTTTTTTTATGCTTTATCATTAATTATGAAAACCATCTTAAAATGTGAATTCTTTTAAACCGAAATTGTACAATGAGTTGAAATTAGACTTGATCTGTTAAACGCGTATCCATCTGAAATAAATTTAGTATTTAATTCAGAAGATATTCATTTAGTAACAAGAGAGTAATATTTTGATTCTATATTTATTTGCAGAAAACTCCGAAAAATGTATCGAATTTGACGGATACTTCTCGATATACGGGGTCTCACAAGGAGAGATTCGACGAATCTGGTCGAGGAAGAGGCGCTGCTGACCAACGAGGATCAAGCAGAACTCGAACACCTTCAAAATCCGCCTCCGATAAGACCAGATCGACTATGCAAACACCAGAAAAGTCCAGATCAGCAACAAGATCTAGTTCTCGGGCATCAGACAAGTCACCAGCGAAGACACCAGACAAAGAAAAGTCGAGTACAATGAAAAGTGAGAAATCATTCACAAAAACACCAGAAAAATCTGCTGCCAAATCTCCTGGTTCTACTGATGTTAAAAGCCCGGATAAGCCACTTATGAAATCCCCAGAAATGAAGAACGGAAAATCCCCAGAAATGAAGAACGGAAAATCCCCATGCATGATTCCAGTTAAATCACCAATGACAAATTCTAACAAGAGCCCAATTATGACTCCTGAAAAGTCACCTATCAAATCTCCAAGCATGATTCCGGAAAAGTCACCAATGAAATCTCCAAGTAAGATCCCAGAGAGGTCTCCGACAAAATCTCCAAGTATGATTCCAGAGCAATCATCATCAAAATCTAATTTGTCTCCAGAAAAATATCCAGCAAAATCAGTAAGTCCTAGCGCAATGTCCGAAAAGTCTCCTACAAGCATGATTCCAGAAAGATTTCAATCCATGATTCCAAATAAATCGCCATCACTGAGCCCAGAGAAAACTCCTGTCAAGTCTCCAAACGTTGACCTTGATAAAGAGGCCAACATCTTACCACAAAGATCTCCTGGGGTAATGATGCCCGTAAAAACTCCAGAGATATCTCCATCAAAATCTCCTGGTACGACTCTAGAAAAATCGCCAGATTTGATGATGCCCACGAAGATACCTGAAAAACCTCTCGGGGGGACCCAAAATGCAATGGATGGTAAAATGATGACTTAGAGGTGCAGATTATTGAATTTAAACTGATATTAAAATATTTATCCTCTTACTTATGAACATATATGGTACACTCAGATGTTTAACTGAGTATTGTTCAAAACCTATTTCAATTAATTGTACACCTATGTACAACCAATGATATACTACTGTGCTGCTGAAATAGAATTATGATATATTAAAAAAAACATAAATTACAAATTCCTAATATTCTGTTAAAACTGAACATCACGCACACACACACACACATACGCATCAGTAACATTTTTCTCTTTTTTCGTTTTTTATACTTTGAAAAAGCTCACTATTTACATTATTCGAAAAAATTATTATTTTGAAAAAGCTATATTCTTTCTTTTTTCTTATGCATAATTCAAAAAATAATTTAAATATATTAAACTTTATTCTTTAAGAGTATAAATAAATGAAACTCTCTGTGATTAACAAAATTTAAACTATCTGAAATAAATGAAAGCAGACATTTTAATATTTTACCGCACCCCCACTATTCCTGTAAACACAAGCATGCCAAATCCAAATATTATGAGGGACACATCCCTCGCGTTGATCTCTCATATTATAATTTATATAAATTCAAGTCTCAAAACTGCAAACAGAAATAGTCTTGTTAAATAGTATGTGAACCTTATCCTCAGTACTTGTCAAGTTTTGACTCGATCGGACTAAATATTTTATAATAAAATAGTGATATTCGTTTTAGTTTGTATAATGAAAGCAACAGAAGATATTTAAAACAGTTTACAGTCATGGGTTAAGTAATATTTAATTCGCTTAATTTTAATGTGTTAGCGGATATCAATATATATTGATTGAAAATATCCATGACAGGAATATTAGTTAATAACCATTTAACACGTATTAAAACTTGTTTGTTAACAGTTACCAATAACGGGTTATTTAATATACATTGATATTTGCTCATTGAAAGATATAATAAAATATAATATCAGATATTAGCATATCTTTTTTCGCAATTATCCATTAACAAATATCAACATATTTTGAAATCGACCAATGAAAAAATAACTGATACCCTCACAAGCTGATAGATATTTATTTCATAACTATATCGTTACCTATGTGAGAAGTCGATATCTATTGAGAAACAACTGTTGCTAGCATCTTTATTGTTATTTAGATTTGGGAGATTATATAAATTAGTGACTGTTACATTTGTTGACTTCAGTATTTCTTAACAAAGAATGGCTTTTGTCAGAGCATAACAATATATGTTGACACTTTTTATCACCTTTTGAAATGCATGTACATTAGCTAACACTGACAAACAAAGGTTAACGTGTTCAAGATCATAAATACACATTAAAGCTTTTCCTTAAATAATGAAAATAGGACCAAATGTATTTTCATACATCTTCTCTGCATGCCATTAAACGAGAATGAATGTGCATTTTAACCAGAAATGGTTTTTAAAGACTGAAAAGAGTTCAACAGGCTTCAAAGTTCATGCCAGAAGATACTGTTCTACTTTGTGCATATGAGAACGATACGTGGCAGTTATTTGTGGTATAATATACAATTCTGACATGAGATTGATGAAGCGTTGGATAATCTAAATAATATCACTATCATTAAGGGTAAGGTGGGTTATGTGGTCTCATATATATATATATATATATATATATATGAAGAAAAATATACTGAAAAAACAAACAAAAATCCTAATATGCGATTATGCTGTTTTAATGTTTAATATATATATATATATATATATATATATATATATATATATATATATATATACTAATGAAGCACATAGCAATTTATGTTGCTTTTGTATATGGAAATCCTTGCAATTCCCCTTCCAATGACGATAAAAAATAATTAAATGCATGTGAACAAACGCACATACACACACACAAACAAGCACAAGTGTGTGTGTGTGTGTGCGTATATGTGCTTGCGTATGTATGTGTAAACAAATTATTCCTATGCAACATGAATACATGCATAAATTTATCTTCATTGTTAGGTTGCCTTGGTGCCTATCCTTTGTAAATTGCTGTTCCTTGCTTATTGTTTATATATTTTCTTTGTCAATAGAATAATTAAAAGAATATTCTGTTGTGGTTTTCTCCATTCAGAATCTAATAAAACGTTGTTATGTTTGAGTGGTTGTAGCCTTAGTTCGCCGGATGCCATTATCCAACTGGAAGACACGCACCAAAAATACGCCAACCCATTTTAGCCTCCTGCCAGCAACAGTATATGTAACTTGTTCTCTCCGTTTCTTATGCCTGGTTTACCTGCTCTTCTACGAGTTTGTATCCGAAACCTCTTGCTCGTCTTTCTTTTCCCTTTCTATGATATTCTGGATTCACTTTTAGATTATTTTAAAGAGAATTTCTCTTCTAGTTTTTTCTTTTCAATCTTTAACAATTCAACGGTCGCAAAATACCGCCTCGCCTATAACGAATCTTTATTCTTAATAACACATTGTGTTCTCTCTTTCTTTTATCTTCATATTTTCTTTTTCTTCTTTTTATTCAGTTTTCTATTTGATTAATACTCTTCTTTCTCTTTTCCCACTCTTCTTTCTTTTTTCTTCCATTTCACTTTTTAATTTTCTTTATCTCTTCTCTTTTATGTGTTAGTCTCTTCTCCACTACGCTTCTTATTTCCTTACTTATCTAAGCTAAAAGACATTTCACTTTTACACTATCCCTCTCGAATTGGTCTTTCTTTTTTTCGAGTTTGTAAAAATGTTTGCGTTTCTCTTTAACATTTACTTATTTTATTTCTCTTTTTTCCTGACCTTCTCTTGTCATTGTTTATTTGGACATTTGCGCATTTATAAATGCCAATCTTTAAATTTTTACAACGTATTTTTGTGCAAAATACTCTACTGGTTAGAGCAGAGAGTTTTTTTTTTAATATTACTATATATATATATATATATATATATATATATATAAAATATATATAAATAAATAAATATATATATATATATATATAAAATGCCTGTTGTGTCTATTCATCTGTTGTGTCACTTAAACATGACACAGTTGAAAGGTGCTTGGCGAGATAGGAATGCAATGCATGCAAACTACGAGCCAAAATTTTTCAGTCTTTGCAAAACACATGCTTATTTATAACAAAAGCTAACCCTATGTTGAAATTGCTTCCAAAACCCTGCACCATTCATGTTGGCACATTTTGTCATTTTCAAATAACTTCTTACCTGACAATAAAACTATTTTATCAACATACTAAGTAGCAGAATATAAAATGACGTATTCATTTTTAAAAGGCAACAAAATGATCCTGTTTTGATCTTACAGGATTAATTCAGAGTAGCGAAATCACACAGAAGACATTTTGTAAAAAATGGATTATTGGAAATCTGTATGGAAAAAGAACTTGTACAGTGTTCGGTATTTGGATGATGTAAGCCCACGAATGTCCATTATTGATAGGAATAAGAAATATGATAGTGTCTGCCTCGTGGCTAAGACAGTTGTATATATCCCACTGATATCAGTAATCAGTGTTCGAGTTCAGATAAAATATCAAGATTTCGAATACTGATTTCCAAGGCAGAGGGTCACACTCTACTTGGAACATTAATAAAATACAACTTTCTTACGTCTATTTTCATTGATTTGACTCAGTACTATACTAAGCTAACATTGTTAAATATTAATAAGAAATATGTGTGCACATTTATACATAAAACATAAATGAAACCATATCGAGAAATGTACATGTTTGCATTCATACATGTAGATTCTATGTATTAGAAGTAAGTGATAAAGTTTAAGCGGGTTTTATATATTTCACAAATACTAAAGTTTCGGTATCTTGATAAGTTCTGATTTATTAGTAGATATAAAAAGATCTCTCATCTTTCTATATAACCCTTTTTAACATCGATAAATCTTCCATAAATGCAATTGCTAATCTTTTACTTTTAAAAGATATTTAGGCATAAGCTCATACTTATATATATAGAACTGTGCATCGCTATTATCATATGAGGATTCGCATATGCAATTACACATAATTAACAGCTGCGAACAGAGGGGCATTCGCCATGGTGTCAAGATGCACTCTCTTCATCTTAGATAAATTGACGTTAGTTGCCTGTCCATTCAAACATATTATAACTAAAACTTTTCACTCAAGATAAATGAAGAATCTCTTCCGTTCAGATCTTTCCTGTCATTCATAAATTTGTGGTCAATCCTAAAGCCAAAATTTGTTCATAATTTATAATTCAACTGGTATGAAATAATGATTAGGGTAAAGAAATTCTCGGTTTGTTATTATAGATATTATTTCTTAACAAACATCATATTATTGAATGAAAATTAATCCTTATATAAATACCTTCGTGAATTCGGTTTATCGTTCGTACGTATCACAAAATTTTCATACATATACTTGAACTTATATATGTATATATGTTAAGGGTTCAGTTACATTTTATTGATTTGTTATATAAGGAAAAATAGAAATAATACAAAAAATAAGGAAAAATTTGTATTAAAATAAAAAATAAATGAATACAATTATCCTTTGACAAAATGTTGATATTCTTTATCTATTTATGTATCATTAGAGACACCATACTTGGATATGTATGTGAATACAAACTTACATAGACGCATTAGAGAGGCGGGTCCAGTAGGTGGCGTAGAGGGTGCACGGCCTTTCTCCTCCCTAAAATTTCTGAGTAAATAGTTTTGTTGCAAAATAGATAAGGAATCTATAATGAGTTAAGACAGATTTAACGCGTTTGTTCTTTTGTATGTTCACAAAGACATTCAGTTAGACTATGATAAAATCGTGAACTTCTATGCATATAAGAATCCACGAAAATTGACTTTAGTAAATCCTCTTTCATAAACGCTACGTAATCACATTTTGAATCTAAAAGTTTGAATTTACAATTTTACATATCAAATAGATAAAAGAAAATGTAAATTTAATTTATATATGTGTGTGTGTGTGCATGGGCACGCTCTACTCATTTCTATAACCTAACAGATATGATCACAGAATTTAAAATTTTGAATTGAGAAGTTTTACTGAGGAACACGCCCCCCTCTAACTGAAAATGCTGAATCCGCCTCTACAATTATTGATCAAATACATATCACTTTCGATTAATTAATCTATAAGTTTTTAATATTCATTTATCTACGTCTTTCCTTTTTTATTCATTGGATCTATCTATCTATCTATCTATCTATCTATCTATCTATCTGAATGAATAAATATTTTCCTGGATGTCAGTTGGTAATTCTTATAAACGAGTTAAACCAATTTTTTCTTTATTCTACTTCGTATATACACACTTTCACACATACACACTTTCACACACATATACAAACACACGTACGTACATACACACTATATCATATCGGAATGACGAATCCACTTTGAATGAGTCTGGTTGCATATTCTAGACTCGTAAAATAAAGTTTGAAATCTAACGACTCGTTCAATTCACTATTTGTTAAAGTGCAAAAATCTAGTCTGAGAGAACTTTACGCTGTGTGCTGGCGCTAACAAATAGTTTGCCCTTCCCCGTTGTAGTTTTACTGGTATTCACTTCTTACCTCTATTTCAACCATCGCAATCACCTACATTGCGAGGTATGAAATTGGACAAACAACATTTAAATGGAATCAGTGAACCGAGTTCAAATCTTGGTTGAAGCAGTTTGTGATTACTTTGCAGTAATGCCTACAAGAAAGGCATGAATCTACTTTGCTTAATAAGTCAGGTCAGTGATTACACTCTGCTACTGGTACCATGTAACCCAGTACAACCTGTTGCATGTTACTTGGAGAGGAGATGGGCACTGCCAATAATTCCTATTGCCTTAACAAAGGACTTACTATTGTGCCATATCAATCCACTAGGTTATGGGATAATTTAAGTTTTGAGTTACTTGCATTAAATTTTTCATTTAAAATAAGTTTGCAAAAATTTGGATAATTAACTATCTTGATGGTATAACAATCTTGCAGTTCATGTGAGTATATATGTTTTTTTCTGTCTTTTAGTAAACAATATTTTAATAATGATGACGACAATGATAATAGTTGCGAATAAATTTTAATGTTTTAAATTTCACTAGAAATGTTTGATGAATATTTACTGTTTTTTTCCTCAAAAAGGTTTTAATGACTAGATAACACTTTTTTTTATTTCTATTATTCATACGCACATAGATACAAACGTATGCGCTTGTGTCTGTATGAAACATTGACATTTTGTTAAGGCAGTTGCGCTACACTTTTGTGTTAATTTTGCTAAAACCTTCCCTTTATTAAAAGATAAACTTTTTAGTTATTCATGGTCTTCTTATTTTTAAGAATTTGTATTAAAATAGTTTCACTAAAACGCGTCGAAATTTTTTGAAGTGAAAATTTTACCAAAAGTAAATCAGCTTATAGTTATTTTCTATATGCATTTAATATATAAATATTTTGTTTGTACCTGACCCTTAGATCAGCCAAGTCTTTCATATATGAACTTCTCAAAAGAGTCAGAATATTGCACTATTTTTTTTACTATCCTAAAAAAACTATACGCATATAAGACGTCAGTGAACACTAGTTTTAAATACATTCTGGTAAAGATGCATATAATGAATTACACACACGCACTCACATATTTTGCTATACATGTACATTTATATAAGTGTGATAATCTTGTTATGAATATATCTTGTTGAACAATTCCAAAATACACACATGAGCGCATCATGGCTGCCAACTATTTCAATACATTTTTTTAATGCACAGATTAATTTTAACAACGCAATTTGTGTCGACGGTTAATACAATCAAAGGCTGAAATTGTAATGTTAACGATGACTTTAAGAGATAGGGCAAAGATTTGCATCCAATTAAATGGTACATGTTCATCAGATATAGTGGCATGTGTGCGAAAGTCAAATACAACGATGGGTTATCCTGTGGGATCAGAAATACTTCACTTGTTTCTTGTTTTAGTCAGTCAATATTGTCTGCAATCTCAGGTCGTGGCAACGGAAATACTTGAGAGGAACCGTGTTGACACGCATTCACAGCTAAATGTTGTGTTACCCAAAATTGCTTGTTGTTTACTCTTCTATTCTGAAAATTTTGTCAATAAAATTATATTCAAATACAACTATTTCTGTCTTATTTTTGTTTTTCTTTTTATTCATTTTGAATCACATTGATATCACTAAGTTATGCACTGAAACGGGCAAAAATCACAAATTTATTCATTTTGGTCTGGGTTTGATCCAGCATTTGCTAGTTTGAAGACATAAAAAAATCTAAAACCTGTTGGTTTTCATTTTAATCAACATAAAATCATTATTAACATTTTGTTATTGATTGGAGTTGTGAGGTCAGTCTACCCGGATTTTAGGAGGAAAAAAAAACACAATTTTTTATACAACGCAAAGAAATGATCTTCGCAGAAAAGGAAGAAAGCCAAGCTAAATATGACAGTAACATTTATACAGTTAGATACATGTATTTACAATGTTCTTTGTTATAGCCATGAAGAAACCAATAGTTCGATTGTTCGAAATGATTTGTCGTAGGTCTCCAAAGTTTCGAAGTGTTTTTGTTGCAAGTGAGGAAATCAAGTGGTAAGGTACGCCAATATGTGTGTGTGTGACGCACACTCTAATGAAACATGCGTAAGACTGCTGGACGATGGCGTGAGATAGCAGTAATTTTAAAACACGGTGAACAAAATGAGGGGATATAGGACTTTCGTCGCGGCTTTTCAAGTAGAAAAATTATCGTTGACATACGCGTTGTCATGGTACATGTGTCTATGTAGGTTTTGTCTGGTTCGCTGACTGTCTTTCACCGACTCTCATTCACTAATTGTTCCGTTGCAGATCTGGTCACTGTCTGTTCCTGACAAGCCGTTTTATTGCTATTCTTCGGCTCGGAACTGCTGAGTTTTGCGCGGGAATGTACTCAATGACCTGAGCCCTGACCTACTTCCAGGTCATTTGGAGTTCAGCTGGACGGATGCAATACAGAGAACATCACGACTTGTCATATCTAATCAGGTTCCAGAAACCACTTTTAATTTAGAGCTGAGTTTTTTACAGATTTGTAAAAAAAGTTTTTCGTATCTGCTGAATTTAGTAAGATTTATCTGTAGACGTTTCTTCACTTATTGGCCGTAAAATATAGGAGTTTATAACATATAAAAACCACGTAGATTGATAAATATTGAATTTTTTTTCAATATTTAATATATGTTTTAAAGTGAGTAGACCAATTTACTTGTCTACCTGAGTTTGTATTGATGTTTGCGGCGCCTGTTGTGAAAAATGGTTTGCACACCTTGGTATTCGGTGCAGGTATACAGTGTTCCGTCGAACTGTTCTTTGTAGGTAAATCCAAATACGCTGGTTTTAGTCTGTCTATGGAGACAGTATCTTGTTTACCCTTTCTTATAATAGTAAAATATTTTGGTTTTCTGTCAACTATTTGAAAACGTCCTAAGTAAGTAGGGCAAAGAGGCATTTTACTGCATCATTTCGTAAGAAAATATATTTGCAGTTGCGAAGATCCTTTGGTGTGTTTTTTTACTTGTGTTTTAGTGGGTAAGAAAACTAGATCACTCATTCTTTTTTTGAAATGTTGTATAAAAATGTGGTTGGCTGTAGGTGACTGGTTTTATCGCAAAACTGTCCAAAAGCAGTTATCCATTCATGTAATATGCTTTTAGAGATTGTTTCTGCAGGGGCACAGCGATGTGGAGGATCGTGAACCTACCGTCTGGTTTGATAAATCGTTTAGGAGGAGATTTTGTATGTCTGGTTACTTTGTTTGTTGACACTTTAAACAGGTTTGAGTTCAGTTTTGTTTTTTTGTTTTTTTATATCAGTACGCATGTTGGGCCAGACAAAACGATTGCTAATCAACTTGACGCTAGCTTGGCGCCCAGGATGTGAGAGGTTGTGAAAGTGTTTAAACAATTCTTTTCTCAGTGAAGGTTGTATTTATGGTTTCGAATAACCTGTCCCCACATCGCAGAGTATTGTTTTCGTTCCAAATGGGACGGGATTTTCCTTCAGTTGTAAAGAAGCGTCCTCTTTTGTTCTGTTTAATGTGGCATGCAAGGGTTTCAGAATCTAGTCATTTTATTGTTGAGCGCGAGAGTGTATTTGCCACGATATTGTCTGAACCTTTAATGTAACGGATATTCGAAGTAAATTGGGATATATGATCCAGTTGTAGTGTATCTCTGGGTGTATATTTGTCTGTATTCACGTGCAAGAGGTAAGTGAGAGGTTTGTGATCCGTGAAAACAGTAATTTTTCGCCCTTCGATCAGGTGTCGGAAATGCCTTATAGATATGTAAATTGCAAGTAACTCCCTCGAGAAGGTAATGTATTTTTGTTGTGCGCTATTCAATTTTTACAGAGAAAAAGGAAATTGTTTTTTTCTGAGTCATTTTGATTCTGATCCAATTGAATTTTCCGAAGCGTCGGCCGTCTATGTGAGTGTTTAGTTATCATCATCGCTAACATAGGAGAGTTTAGTGAGATTTGCTAGTGGTTTTTAGTGTCATAGAATGTAGTTAATGCTTCTCTTTCTATAGTTATTTTTGAATTCTTATTTTTGTTTCTGCGGCATAGTTTTGAGCGGGGTCAAGACTTGAACGACCTGTAATAAATCTACGGTAATAGTTAATCAAACCGAGGTATCTTCGCGGTTGTCGCAGTGATGTTGGTTGTGGAAATTGTTGCATTGCTGATACTTTCTCTGGGACAGGCGTGGCTCCGTGTTCATCGATCACACAGTCCACGTGAAGAAGTTCAATTTAAAAACAGCAAACTCACATTTGTATATGTTGATCTTTAAACCAAAATTTGCTAGTCTCTCAAAAACTTGTTGTATATGATCCTGATGTTCTTTACTCTCACGACTAGCAGTAAAAACGTCGTCGATATACGCAAAGACTAAAAGTAATTCTCTCAAAATTTCGTCAATAAGACTCTGAAAATTTTGGGTAGCGTTACGTAACCCAAATGACATCATCGTGAACACATAAAGTCCGAAACGAGTGGTAATTGCCATTTTCTTTATGTCTTTTTCTGAGGAATTTCGTTTGTGTGTTTTAAAGGAGTAGTAGGAAAATTTCCTATCAGCTCATTGGTATGGCAGAACTAATTCCTGTTGACATGTAGATTGAGGTGGTTACCTTTGCCGTTAGCTTTGTGTCACTGTTGATGAGAGAG